CTGTGTAAGGGCAGAGCAGACTCCAGTGGCCAGAGAAAGTGCTCAGAAAAAGATGCAGTGTTGGAAGTTGAAGACTGGCCAGCATAAATTGAGTTAATGTCACTGGGAATAGATCTCAACCAATGGCTGAAGGGAGCTGGTATATATATACCTCAGTTTTCTCACACTTCCAGTGGGATAGTTCTAGGGCTATTGTTTTAAACTGGCTCCAAGAAAATCAGTGAGATTAAAAACAGTGACAACTTGCTGATAATTTACACTTCTTTGCTTTCCTTCCCTTCCCTGCCTCACTTCCCCATGTCCTCTTGTGCTTCCTGAAATTATTTCCAAAATACACTAGTTGCACTTGAATCTTTAAATCAGGGTCTGCTTCTGGTGAGACACAAATTCAGAAAATGTTTTCCCAAAACATTGGTTGAAGAGACATTCAAGTAGTGGGACTATTTATGTTTTCAGTAACAGGACTGATTGTAGGAAAAGCAGGAGCATGGAAACAAAGTGAGTTTAGGAATATGTGTGGATATCAACTATTTGTCCTTTGTCTTGAAAGCCAATCATTGTTACTGAAAATAGATAATCTTATGTCTATGTTACTTAGCCTGAAACAGGAAGAAAAAGAACTGTCTTAATGAAAGACAATAAAAACTGGGGATTTTGTTCTTCGTATTAATACCATTTTCTATCATAGTTGCTTATAACTAACACAAGTTCTATGGTGCCTTAAGGTGTTATGTTATTAAATTAGTAGAGGTGAATTGCTTTGTTAATTAAAGAATAAAATTGAATTTCTTTTTGGAGAACTAAAAAGTCAAATGCTTTTATTATATTTTTGAAAAGTATATTCTAACAGTTTATTTGCAGCATAAAAGGTAGATGCCAAATATTAATAAACTGAGATTTACCATACATTTTTATTTCTTCAGTTTTATTACCTGGTACAAAATGCAGAAAACAAAAAGTAAAATGTTTATTTTGTGTCCATTTAATCAGAATTATAGAGATATGCAACAAAAATGATGTAGTATATTTTTTTAAAAAACAACAAATTATACTAAAAATGGAAGCTAAATTAGAGTGTATTCTCTGATAATCTTCAATGTCCAGATTATTAATAGTTCATAGCTGACTGATACTTTGATGTCTGACTAGGTCTTGGGATAGTCTCCAGGATTCCTGGCATATCATAGCTAAGTTACTGTTCAGCATCCCATCCACATAGAAAATTATATCTTCCATTTCTGGGCCCCCATGGAGCGATGGGTATAATAGTATTTAAATATTAAGTCTGAAGAAAGAAATAAGAGAAGGGTCAAATAAATACTGTAAGAATGCACTGTGACTTTCAGTTAATAGCATGTACCTGTATATTTAATTTATAAGCTCTTTTCCAACTTAACTGACATATGGAAATGGCAAATATTTTCTAAACTACGTTAGAAATATTCTATTTTTAAAAAATTGTTAAACTAAGGTTTTCCAGTTCTAACCTCAGTCTTTCCCCAATTCAAAATACATTCTACTGAATACTTTGCTCAAGCTTTAACATAATATGTTTGAATTATCTGTCCTTCAAATATCTTTGTCCACTGTCTTTTACTGTTTCAAAAAAATCTAGTGCCAAATACCAGCCCTTTGGTAATATTTCATTTAAAAATATCCTTTCATAATTTTGTATACTGAACACTTTGTACAATGTCTGACATCAGCCTTTTACTATCTTGAAAACCACATATTTATTCCAAACTCTTTTTCCTCATTACAGCTCCATTTGTACCCAATAGTATGTTTAATTCTTCTGTATTTTGGTCATGAAGACGATATGGTGGTTTCCTATTACATTACACATCAGATCAAAATTTTGGACTTTGGTTAATAGACCTTTTTCCAATATGCACTAACTTACCTGCTTTCCTTTTCTTTCAGCTGTCAGCATACCGTCTTCGCTGATTGAGGCAAACGTGTTTTCCACAGTCCAGATGAACTTTTAGTCCCAAACTAAACGTATTCTCTTCCTTATTCAGTAGACTGATATCTGTCATTACTTACAAACACCAGAAATCCCAATGCCTTCTAGATGATTCTTCCAATAAGGATGCTATGGGGACCGTTAGTATTCCTTGCTATTGCTTATTTAATCTATCAGGAATTAAGTTTTATTCTATTCACTTTGGTTATTTCCTCAAATATGCATATACTCTTTGGTAGAATATCATAATTACAGTGAAGTTCCTTCTTATGCTAGCTTAGTATGAAACCATCTTTTTGGTTGAATTGTTGTAGTGGAAAGTATAGGGAAGGAATATCTTCATTCTACAAATCTAGTGAATATGTTGAAACCTTTTTACAGCTTAGAATACATTGCCACATAGTCTCTCTCATTTGACTTCCAAGAATGGTGGAAATTGGTTGGCGTCGCAGTCCCTGTTTTGAATGGGAGGGAATCCGGAGCGCTAATGTATTGCAGTATTTAAGACAACAGCCTTTTCAGTAAGGAAGACCTGAGTTTGAAATTACTACAATGTTTATAACGGTGTAACTGTAACTTTGGGTAAATTTCTACTAAGTTTAAACCTCACAAAATGGGGACAGTAATAACTACACGACATACTGCATGTAATTGACACAGCATACAAAGTGGACTGTTTGCCACGTGGTAAACACTTAATAAATGGCAACACGTTAAGAGATTTGCCCAAGATACACTTGTAGAACAGCCTGCAAGGATGGGAAACCGAGAAAGATTTCAGACTCCGAAGCCCATGCTTGTTTACTACCCTGCTTCCTAGAACACTGAGTTAAACTACTAACTTCATGAATGACCTTGAGCAAAATACCTCACTGAGTCAGTTTACTCATCTGTAAAATGAGGGACTTGATTTAGATAATGCCTGATGTCCTTTCAGAGTCTATTCCACCTGCATTAGATGTTTTTATCCGGTGTTTAGGGTTGACGTTCAGGTCCGTGATATGTCCAAGATCTGTATAATCATAAGCTGTGCACATGGCAATGAATTTTATTCCGACACTCGTGTTTCGTTCAACGTTTAGTTCTGTGTGCACACTCAGCTGTTGCCTGTCTTTAGTCTGCCTACCAGCGCCTTGTGAAGGGAAGACCCACACCTAGCTTTATTTATTTATATCCTGGCTTGTTCCCGAAAGGATTTAAGGCGGCAAGTGACACTCTAAGTCCCCTAACGGTGTCACACAGCGCGATTAAGAAATCCTCTTTGGATGAAATCATCGCGTAGAAAATCGCCGATGAGTGAGATGCTAAGTAATGTCTTTTACCCAACTCTTAAAAATTAATGCACCTAGCAAGAAGTCCTGGAAGCATACAGTGCTGGCTCTCCCTCCAACTGTGACGCTGTCTCACCCGTTGTCAACGGTCACTCGAATGCCCTTCTGAGACTAGCCAAAATTGTCGCCGGCTCCAGTACCAGCCGTACCAAGATCCCACCCCGCCCCTTCGCGGCCCCTCATCACCCAAGTTTCCTGATTGGGAAGGGGCCCGAAGAACCTTTCTCACATTTCCATGTTATTGGCTGCCACGGCTGTCAGTAATCTCTCCTTCCCGCCTTCTAGCCTAGCGCGTTTCGTAGACCCCTTGGTTTCTGCTACAAGCCGCTTACGTTTGCCTGAGCCGTGTTGCCGGGGACCGGCGACCTTTCACCCCTCCCTACCCACAGGAGCGCCCTGGCCCCCTCCCACGCCCCCGCCGCCGGCGCGCGCCCTCTCCGCGCCCGCGCTCCCCTCGCGCGCGCGCACTCGTCCGCGCACACACACTCCCTCGCCCCCGCCCGCGGCGTTCCCCCTCACCCGCCAGCCACCCCGCCGGCTGAGGCATCGGCGCTGGGAGGCGGCGGCGCTGCTGAGAGGCAGGGACCCGGGCGCGAAGTGTGTGGGAGTCTACGAACTCAACCCCTCTCTACCCTCCCCTTGCAGCCACCCCCCTCCCTCCCCGCCAGCCCCCCCCTCCCCAACAAGCGGGAGAAATAATGAGCGAGACCGGGCGGCAGCAGCAGCAGCAGCGCCGAGCAGCCCAGGCAACGGCAGAACCGCTCCGGCAGCGGCGGCGGCGGCAGCACCAGCAGCGGGAGCGAGCGCAGCGCTAGCGCGGCGCGGGGACCGCTGCGCTCCTTCCCGGCTCCTGCCTTCCTCTGCCGCTAGCTCCTCTCTCGGCATCCACCTCCTTCCCCTCCTCCTGCTCATTCACTCTTTCCCTCACTCTCCCCTCCTCCTCGGCTTCTCCCCGCGCCCCGCCAACCCTCGCGCTCTCCCACTCCCTCTGCCCGTCCTCCCCGGTCCCCTCCTCCCTCTCATTCACTCGCCCCTCTCCCTTCTCCACTCTCTCCCCCTCTCTCCTTTCTTCTTCTTCTTTCACCCTCCGTCTCTCACACCCCCTCCATTCCCCTGTCTCCTCTCTGACACTGCACTGCAGCTGCTCCTCAGCCCTGCCCCCTCCCCAGTGAGAACAAACCAGCAACATTGCTTTTTTTCCTAAAGAGATTTATATTGATCCGATTAAAAAAAAAAAACCTTAAGAAACCCCAAACGCAAAAAAAAAAAAAAAAAAAAAGAAAAAAAAAAGAAAAAAAAAAAAAGAAAAGAAAAAGCCAAAACAAAAGGGAGAACCTTCTCCCGGTAGCAGCGGCAGGAACTGCAAACATGATGGCGGCAGCTCCCATCCAGCAGAACGGGACCCACACGGGGGTTCCCATAGACCTGGACCCGCCGGACTCGCGGAAAAGGCCGCTGGAAGCCCCCCCTGAAGCCGGCAGCACCAAGAGGACCAATACGGGCGGTGGGTATCGCTTCCACCTCCCCGCTGGCCCCATCCCCCGCCGCCCGCCCCTGCCTCCCTCCCTCCCGCCGTCCTCCCTCCCTCCCTCTCGCGGCCCGGACACCTCCAGCCCGAACCCGGCGGCTCCTGCGCCCCTGCCCCGCGCCCCCTCCCCTGCACCTGCCCCGTGCCTAGCTGTCCCCGACACATTTCCATTTCTGTGTTTATCATTCATCAAAATGGCGACCAGTTTTTCGGAATAGACCTATCTTTCCATTTAATCGGTCCAGAGGTTGACCATGTAAATATCCTAGACCTGGGCAAGAAGGTCCATTCAGGAGAAGGAGGAGGAGGATGACCCGGAGTGAGGTGATGGCCGCCCGAAGATGCGCGCTGCGTTTAACAGTCTGATAAAATAAATAAATAAATGGCACTTGGGTAGCGGATTACGAATGATTGGGGCGCCGGAGAGTTTTTCCTCTCTCCAACCTCTTGCTTTGGGCCACAAGTAGTATGCAAAATCTTGATGAGTGCATGCCCTTACCGCACTTAGATAGTCGGTGCAAATATTTCATTGATTTGTCTTCAGGGGGGTGCATACGAGGGTGGAGGTGTCTGGAACGGTGACTTGTTAGTTAACATCCTGCGCTTCCTTGGAAGATGAGTTTTAACGGGACTGATACCGCTTCTTCATTTGCACTGGAGTCATCTTAACAATGCACCCAATGCATCGAAGCAGAGGTGAATTTATCTCCAGCATATGCATTGTAGACGGATGGGGGGTCTTGTGAGTGGCACACCGCAACATTTGGAACATTCATTCACATAAGAGAGCTGGATTTACCGGGGTGTCTCCAGTATAAGACGTGATCAAGTTGACGGAAATTAAAGTTTGTGGAGTTGGCTTTATTTTCTAATACATTTCATTTTCTTTTTCCTGGTTCTTCGACCCTCTCTCCGTTTTAAAACTTGTGATTATTTTGGGAAAGGACCATTATCTGTTTTGTCACTTTTAAGAGTATTTAATATAAATGACTCTTAAGCTTTTTAGTATTGGCAAAATTCTTCTTAAGGTCCTTTAATTAATGAGCTTAGACGAGATCATGGTAGACTAAGAAGTGCTAAAGAAATGCACTAGGATTAGTTAGATTTGCCAGTCCACCACACTGAGTTATTTTCTGGCAGTTATCGAAGACTTGGAATACACCCCACAGTTTGGGTGGATTATTTGGTAGGAGAATGGTTGTTTTGCGGACTTTAAGTAGGATATAGGCAATGGCTAATTCTAGTCTTTATGTGTCTGCTAATGACAAATAAATACAGCTTATCACTATTTACAGCCCTGGGCTTTTCTTCGTTTTCAATATGTTAAGTGAAGGTTTGTCATCTTATAAATCTCTGAAGTTTTGTTAAAGGATCCGTTCGTTTCATTTTGCCATAGTAACCTCAGATAGAATTGGAAGACTTCCATGTTTGGAATAACAACTGGAATTTAGTCATCAGTCTCTACAGTGCTGTAAAATAATAGAATATGTTTAGACTTTAATTCCAAGTTTGAAAGTATACACCCTACAAAATGGGAAACATTTTGGACATACTTGTTTTTCAGTGTAATTGGCTTAATTTCATTCTCAAAAAATGTTTAACTTCATATCTCCTGAAGCTATATACCCAGTGCTTTAGTTGCTGTTTTTCTCTCTTGAGGGTGGAGGGGGATACAAAGTTCGAAATACTATGTTAACCGAGTGTATTTCTTTGCATTTTTCAGAAGACGGCCAGTATTTTCTAAAGGTTCTCATACCTAGTTATGCTGCTGGATCTATAATTGGGAAGGGAGGACAGACAATTGTTCAGTTGCAAAAAGAAACTGGAGCCACCATCAAGCTGTCTAAGTCCAAAGATTTTTACCCAGGTAGGTGCAATGGTGAAGAGATTGTTTGATGAGCCCCCCCGCCCCCCACCCCCAGGAAAGAAAGATCTACTGTGTTGTGTGCTGTCTTGCAAGAAATTTCAACAATACTGGAGACTTTTTAAAATACTGCTTTATTAGAGTATATTGTGGAAAAATTTTCAGAATATTTCTATTGTTGATTATGCCTTTTTCCTATAACTGTTGTACCGTGTATGTGAATTAGACCAATTGCAAGATGATTTGGGTATTTCTGAATAATTCTTAATAGCAAAAAACTAAAAAATTTAAAGATAGAAACCTGGACAGCTGGCATCAGGAAATAGGGTTCTTCTGAAGTTTTCAGACATCATTGTAATGACAATTAGCTTAGAGTGAATTCAGAAGAGGGGGGTAGGGAGGCTTCTTAAAGAATGGACCATTTACTTCTGAATCCATTATGTACCTCTTTCTGCTTCATTGCTTTGTTTGTTGGCCTTCCAGTGAAGTAAAGAGGACAAGTGCTGCCTCTTCAGATTTTTTAAATATTGTGGTTTTAATGCAAATGAGATAAGGAAATTTATATTGTTATGCAAGAAGTAAAATAATGCTTCAGAATTCATATTAACTTAAGAGCTATATTTGATTAAATATGTTGACAGTTAGTGTAGTACAGTAACCTACTAGAATATGGCAAGTGTCCTAGGTGGTATACATTTTTTGGTTTTTACTTTCAAGTTTGTCTTTTTAAGTGTTAAATCGTTCTGCATGTCCACCTTTTTCTATGTTTTTTCCTTATATTTTGCTAATCAATATGCGTATTTTAAGTTTAAGGGAAAGGTCTCTGTAATTAAATAGTATATTTCCTAGATAAAACATTATTAGTTGATTTGCTTTTATTTAAATCTAGCTTTCTGTGATATTTTTAAAGGTTATTTTATCTTTATAGCTATCAAAAACGTTCATTCAGTGCTGAGGGAACCAATACTGCTTCAATTTTTTTCTTCCTGGTGGAAAAAAATCTGATTTGCTTTCAGTGATCTAATTCAGTAAGAGTTCTTTAATACAGCAAAGACATCTGGCATGAATGTAAGCAGAGCATTTGGAGGACTTCTTTTTCATGGCCAATCACTTGGTGGTAGAAATGGACCATTATACTGGATAAGAAGGTTTTAGAATGGTTGAAACTATCTTTTAGTTTTATAAATTAAATGTAGTATTTTTGGTAAACATTTAAGTTATTAAACTAAAATGTAATATATTAGACACGATGTTCCTCTAAAGTTTGTTTCCTATGAGTGTAGTTTTGCAGATGGCTTTTCTTGTCTCTAAAACTTTCCTTATGCATTAAGAAAGTTTGCTAACATATTCACATTCATAGGTTTAAAAGGTATATTATGATTAAAAAAATCAATGTAGAATTGTGAAAACCCTTAGTACAAATAAAAGCACTCAAAAGAGCTTGATTGCAGAATTAATAACATGATAGTTCTAGGAAAAGAGCTGCAATGGTAAATTAAATTCGCTGTCAATAGATAAAAATGAAATAGCTTTTTTGCATTATACATGAGGTGGTATCAGATGTGCAAGGATGTTACAGAAAATTGGTGTTTATCAAGGATATTCCAAATAGTAAATTAAATGCCTTTTCATTTGAATATAGTTTATTTTCAGTGGGTTGAAAAGGGTACACTGAGAATTAGATCTTTTGTTTTTAGTCCACTTAGTTGTACATTTTTTGCTTATTACATTGAAATTGATTATTTTATTTGTAGTTCTGAGGCATGTTATTTGTATGGAGCAAGAATATCTGTTGGAAAAAAATGGAAAGCTGGAATGCACTGAATTAAAATTTGTGTGTGTAGTGACGTAACTTGATCAAATGCGAGTTGAAATGTCGGATAAAAGAAGGCTTATACTTTGCCGGTAACAGGTGGAAACCAATCACACAGTGTGGGATCAGTTTTAAGGATAAAATAAAGCCTTGTAGTTTATAAGAAGCTTTAAGAATTCTGAACATTGTGTATAAAAATATAATTTTAACTAGATTATTACCTGTTTGGACACATAATCTCTCTGCTTCAGATAGACTTTAATTTTAATAGTCTTTCTCTTCACACTTGACCACAAGTCTGCAGAATAATTTAAGATACCGGTATTCTTCAACATAGCCTCTGAGCTTTTCTCAATTTCTCTTATTCAGATGTACATAAGGGATACTTACCTTGCACATCTCAGATGAGCTAAATTATAAAGCTGTGATCATATCACCAAGTTATAAAGAATTTCTTATAGGATTAATGCAATCATTTAGAAGCCCAATTTTGTATCTTTCATAAATATATGAAGTTCTTAAAGCTATATTTGTATATTTATAACTGTCATAATCTACTACAATCAATATGCCTGATGTTTGTTTCATGAAGCCCTTTTCTGTTTCTCATTTGGTAAGAGAGCATATTTGGGGAAAACTATACTTTAGTTGTATAACCTAATGGATTTTCCCAAATTACCTAAGTTTTTAAACAGAATATAATTGTGTTTGTAAGGTTTAGTTAAAATACTAATGAATTTTCAGAAACTATCTTCAGGATGTATTATAACACAGAATACAGACACACTTTGGGGACATTTTAATACATTTTAACACAAACGATAGGTACTTTAAACAAATTATAGCCAATATAATTTCCTCATAAAAACAAATCTTTGTTTTTCTTTTTTCGTTTTAAAATATTGTAACCCTGGCTTTATGAGTAACTTTTAAAATTATGGTTGAAATAAAGAAAACATTTTTGTACATTAATTAACTTGAGAATTTGTACAGCTGGATATTGCATTGTTTTTCAGTGTCATATATTAAATAACAAACTTGAGAAAATTGTATCATGAGGAATTATAGAATGTATTATTCAATTACTGCAATCAGATAAAATGATCTACAAATGGATCATTATTGCTATACTACATAATCCATTTATCTATTTGACAAAATCAAATCTTATAGAATACTGACTTAATTCTGGTGGTTTAGGACTATACCTTTTTTTCTTATGTGATTAGAGCAAGCTAATCTGATTTATTTGTGTATCTTTTTATAACTAGGTTATAGTAAGTTACCTTGCAGTAAAAAGCAGATTTCTTAGAGGAATGTATTATTGTATGCCTTTTCCGAATGACGATAGTTTATTTTTATTAATTTGGCATATAAAGATATGTTTAGTTTTTGTCAATAAGCAGATTGATTTTATCTGTTAAAATTATTTAATGGATGGTTCAGGTAGGTAATCCAAAAAACTTACTGAATGCATTATTGGTTGGGAATAGTAACGGATGTATACAATAAATATTTTCATGTATTCCTTAGATTTTAGAACAAATCATAGTATACTTATTTTTATTCTATTATATGATATTCATTACAGCAGTCAAACAGAATTCTTCATTGTAGTGTTGTAAGCTATTTGTATATATTTTATACTGTCTTTGTATTTGTGGTTATAAAACTAGGATCACATTTAAGAAAAATTATTTCCTTTTGTGCTACTTAATTTAAAATTTGAACTTATTATTTGTACATTCACTATATTTCAGTTTTTTATGCTGTCCAATTTGGGTGGTGCTTTTTAAAACAATCACAAAATCATAGAAAAGCAAAATGTAAGCGAAATGTTTTTATAGGGAAGGAAAGACACAACATTGATTTTATTTTGATATGAGGAAAATATAGTAGCCAGATTAAACTTTAGAACTGGAATTGTATAAGTATGATAATGTTTTGTAAATCAGAGGAGTTAAGGAAGTTAAAACATTATTTCTGTTTACATCATTGAAGGAAGAGTATTATGATGTTGGTAGTACCTGTGAATGTGAATCTCTTACAGCTTCTAAAAGTTGCAGCCTATACTTTGATCTTAGATGCAGAGAATATTGGACATTTATTGGTATACATTTTAAGGCAATATTAGTGATAAATAGAACCGTAACAAATAAAGAAAACAAAACAGTATGATTTCCAACATTGTTGAGTGGGTTTAATAGGATAGTTGTCATTACACTAGGTTATACCTTTGATTTTAGTATCATCAAAGACTTGCTGACACATAAAGTGTTTTTCCTTGAATCTTAAAGTTGTAATGTTTGACACACTACCTATTGTTAGGGTTACTTTTATCTTTTATCTCTATATCTTCAGTTGAAGGAGAAACATTATCTTTTACTTAACATTGGTATCTCTGAAAATTTGCTGTATTTTGGCTTAATATTTTTTATACTTTATTTTCTTATTTTAAGCAATAGGAAATCTTAACATATGAGGGAACATTACTGGCATAGCACAATCTATATTAACATTGCAGTTTCCAAAAGATATAATTTTATTCTTGTATGTGCAAATGTTTTGTGGGGTTTATAGAAAGATGAATTCGTACTAAAAATTTTAGCTGTACATTTTATTTGATTTTTTTAATATCATTCTGATGTTGGTATAGTAAGTTAGACATCACTAATTTTTGGTGTTGGTGTTTTTAGGAATCATATACACAATGTCACTTTGAAATTTGCTTTTTGAAACTTTCTGGGCTTTGGGAAAATAGCTCATTTAAAATTTGTGGCATTGTAATGAAATATCTCTAACAACATTACCTTGCAAATACCACCCCAAATTTCAAGAATTGTTTAAACATAATGAACACAGTTGGTGATATAGTTCAATACTTACGTACTGAAGATGTTTCATATTACATAGCAAGAGGAAAACTGATATGTGTCTTGAAAATGCTAAGGAGTCTGTGATATCACTAAAAACCTGACCGACAACCATCAATTAAAAAGTTATGTATTTTATAGTTGTATTATTTGTTTTTTTTTTTTTTTTTTGCTCTGGCTTAAGAGATTAATTTTTTAAAAAGTTATTAAATGACACAAATTCCATTTATTGATTACATATTATACCACTTGTTAACTAAATTTCAGCACCTAATAAACATTTTTAACCATAGAGTTTTTAAACATAGAATCTTAGT